GAAATTCAAATCAAATATCTAATTTTGTACACTTGGAGAAAAATAGAAAGTTACTTGTCACATAAATTCGTAGACAATATACAAAAATACGAAAAATTTAAGGGAATTTCACGTATGAAGTAACGAATTTATCCTTAAACACAAATTAGCCAGTCAAATTTTACGGATAGTTTCTTAAATTTTCAAAGGGGGTATTTTCATTTTACCTCAAACTACGTCACACGTAAAACAAAAATGCTTTTTAGGCGATTGAAAATATTTGATATTGTCGAGCAGAATGGATTATCAAAGTCAAACTCACATAAAAAACTTCTTTAACTAGGGATTGTCCATTAATTGCATAATATTATTCTTATACCTCTGAACTACAATCCCACCTCCTAACGTTCCGTAACTCTGTCGCACATACCCACCCTAATTACGTAACGCATATCCTCGATCAACTGTGTTAATTGTTTGGGAATAACACACAGCACGGGATATCTAACGTCACATCATTTATGTATAACGTATAAAGCAGTGACATGAACAGTACGGTTCTCTATTTAACACTTCTCTATTTAACTAAAAATGAATCGTTCTGTTACCTAAGGGTTTAGATCCTAGCATTACGTAGCATTTTTGTAAATACCTCACCCCCTTGTAATGCATCGTAACAATTAATTTACCTGCATACCCTCCTATCCACATCTGCGTTACATAATTTACGGATAACCCCTAATGTTCTTGTTCACAATCAAGAATCAAAAGTTAAAGTTTCGTAGATTTTTTATAAATATTTATTTTATTATATGTTAAATGATTTTTAATAAATTAATTTGAATTTAATTCTACCAACATTCAGTGCAAGGATATATTACGTCAGGCATCCCAGTTGAGTTCTTAAACAAAAATTATCTTGAATTTTCAAATTTAACCTTAATAATGTACACTGAAAACTGAAAATTCATTAAAATTAAATTCATTTGGTTAATTTTTGTCTGATTTTTTTTTATTCTTTGGAAATACTTAAATCTCGAACAAGGCTTTCCATTTCAAATTTTCAGCTTTATAACCGATATAATACCATAGAATCTGTACAATTTCCATATTTTAGATCTATTCTACAGTATTTGCATTTGTTGTAATTGTTTCTTGAAATGAAAATCTAGAAAAATATACACTAAAATTTTATCATAAGCTATATAACAATTTTATTTTATGTCCGAAAATTTCAATTATTGAGAAATACGGAAAGAATATCTTTGGCAAACTTACAAAATGATTTTACTTTATTTTACCATTCGGAAATTTATTTTAAATCGTAATTCTGATTGCACCGTACCAAATTCTGGAAATGTTAATTTTCGTTTGAGAATTTTCTATGATTAATTAACAGCAAAACTCGCGCTAAAGAAATATTATGATGAACTTTACTGATGACCCCGCAAGATTCTTACAATATTTCATACTAGCAAAGACACTTACAGAACATATGTATACACAATGCCGCAAGTTTGCTGCTTATTATGCATATTTGCATTAACTAAACCGTAAAGCAAAGTATTTTTTTCCAGAGTTTGAAGCTTCAACTATCACAAAAAGTTGTAATGATAAGCAGGATTTCTTTCAGAGGGAATCCTGGAATATAAACAGTTTTGTAAAAATACAAATGATTATTGCTTCTACTCTTGATTATTGTTTTAATTCTAATGATTATTGTTTTAACTGATCGATAAATTGCATTTATTACCCACTCAAATCAGAAAAATGGTTAACTTAACCTCAGATCACTGATGGTTAAGTTATATCTCGATTACTAGAATAGGATTGTTAGATGAGAATCACAAGAAAACATTTTGCATCATCTCTCTTCTGACAAAATAAGACAGGTGCAATGGGTGCACGGGCACAGGACCCGGAGCAAAACGAGGCCCTAAAGTGAGGTATCAAAAATGATCAGTTTACATTTTTCGCTCTGCTAATCCTTTACTTTTCGGTCTAATTGTAAGCACGTACGCAAGCGTACTGGACACTCTTTCTGGTACACAATTCTTTTATACAAAAAATAATAAATACAGTATCGAGTTATTAATTACTTAGTTACACTTAAGCAATTTACAAATTCGATTTAAGTAAAATTCGAGTTACATAAAGGTCTACGGTTCGCATTACTTACGTAACTCGAGGTATTACTGTACACGATTCTACTAGACGAATCTATCTTCGTAATCTACTAAGGACTGTTATTCTCCTTTTCATTTTTACGATTTTATTTGAATAAAAATTTTGAACTAAAATTAATTTAAAAAGGATTAACAGTTGGTGTTTCTTAATAGACAATTCGTCTTAGTAAAAGATCTCCGCATGATTTCACTTCTAATCATAATAAATCAATATGTCATTGAATTGTTGAAATCAATGGATATATTTCACGATTCTTTTGACAATGGATTTTGACGATTCTTTTACATTTGGAACTTCCAAAATTATTATTAATGCAAAAATTGTGATATAAACAATACAGTTAAACTTAAATACAATAAATTTTTTTATTATTTCTTAGATTCATGCACATATAAAACAAAACATTTGTACTGTAACGGCATATAGGCTACATAACCAAGGATAAGAGTTAGAGTTAGAAGTTAACCAATTACCATTCGCTTTACTTTTAGTACGTTAACTCTAAAATAAGCTGGAAATTTAAAAAGTAGACTGTGCCACTTTTCAATGAAGTGCAGGGGATAATAACGGTAAATAAATGATAAATAGTATTTGTTGTGAAACCGTGTCCTTTTCCTATTGTTGACTTATTAAACACTGACTTTATAATGTATTTTGAAGACATGTGGCAAATTTTCATCGTTTATCTTTATTTAGTTAGTAAATAGTAGTTATTGGTTAATTGTTTATTGGTATCTCATTCTTTTTTCTCCGATTTCTTGCCCTTACACAACTTCACTTAAAAATTAAATGCTTAGCTGAAGCTGGAGCAAAAATTTTATGTGGAGAGGAACCGTAACGATAGTCAGTATCTCTGTTCTAAATTTATTGTCAAGCAATGTCAACTAAATTTTCAGTTATTTAAGAATTATAATGTAGGAGATACTTCTTATTAAACAAGCTTATTTACGTTACATTTCTATTAATACATTGTTATAATTATATATATATATATTTCCTAATGTCAAAATATAGAAATAGGCACATTTAGATTCTCAGTAGTTACTATTACCATTGAATTATTTTAAAAATTAACTTATGAAATTACTACATTTTTACTACGTTTATTATCTTCCACTATTACTTTTTTTTTATTAGAATTTCAAATATTATAATCAAAAAGATTCTAGTAAAGTTTCAGTTTACCAGAAAGAACTGTTATATAGAAAATCCTAAGATTACTATTTAAATTTTACAGTAAAAAACATTAAAATAACATTCATAACATAGGAATACATATAATACGATGTATGATAATGTAATGTGAACTTACGAGAATACTTTAGGTAGAATCTTATATGATAAATACTTTTGTTATTCCTTTAAAATATGTACAGTTAAACTGAGTAAACTTCCTCCTTAACTGTTAATAGAAGATAATTATGCAATAAAATGCTCTTAATTTTTGCACAGAATTTAAATTCTATGCAAAAATTAAGAGCATTTCCCTTTTACTAATTTATTTACTTATTTAATTTTGTTTTTTTAAATATTCAACAAGGAATATATATTTATAATAATAATAATAATAATAATGAATTATCAGTTATAAATCATTAAAAAAAATTTGGATAAAATCATTCAACTGAAAAAATTTCAACAATTTTTAAAAGGACATTAATTAGATCCTTAAATATTGATTAACTAATCAACTTTTAATGTAAAATATTAGATTTATTTATACTTTTATATAGAATTATTACTAATTAATATAATTAAAAAAACAAATAGAGTTTTTATTTTATTTTAAATTTAAAAATAATTGATGTAAATTTTAAAATAAAAAAAATAATTAACGATTTAAATTATAGTTCGTACTATAAATTAAACATTTAAATACTGTATTTATTAGTGTTTATATTCTTGACATTTTTTGTAATTAAACAAATAATAAAAAATAGTTTTTAATTTTTATATATTTAATATTAACGTATAATTTAAAGGTTAATTTCTTATTATCTGAAGAATTAAATATTAAAATTAAAAATTTATACATTTATTTTTAATCTAAATTGCCATAAAATTCGAAATTATAAATANTTAAAGTAGATTTTTATTGTTATTTTTTTTACATTAAACTTTTCGAGCAGAACCTACACTTATTTCAGTCATTAACTTCCCATATAAATGCATTTTTTTACGCATGAAAACATTTTGTATGACCTTTTCTAGTTGTAAACAAAAGAAAACAGATTAAAGATTTTCACAACAGATAAAAATATAATTTCCTTTAACATATATATTATTTACTATTCTTCGGTCACAGCCTAGAAATGACTTAATGAGTGACACCCTGTTAGTGAGTATTAAATGTAATAATCACGTGAGATAAGTGGGAAGTGCGACTTCCACGTTGATTCCCACGTTTGTAACTATTGAGGGTGGACAACAGGGCGTGCCTGACAACAGCAGATACCAAAAATATAAGAATACACACGGTTTATTTTTCGAAAAGTAAAAAGAAAAAAAGAAAATAATAGAGAAAATGACAGTATTCTGGGTGTGTGTAATAACAACTCGAAAAACCGGAATTATCTATGAAGTTGCAAATACAAGTATGGTGAGAGATGAGCTTTAATGCTACTATAGTAGCATCAGTTGATAAGTTATCAGTTTCTGTTTATTTAAAGTGATATAAAGTAACAGTAGAGATGTTGGATATAATAAAAAAGCACGAACAGAGTTCACTAACCTTTCAGTACTTAAGCACCCTTTATTTTATAGGCTACAACATAAAATAAAGGATAAACAATTGGCATGTGATTGATTAAAAATTGACATTTATAAAATAAATTTTAAAAAATAATAATTAAATTATTCCGTCCGAAACAGTCTTGTACACCCGTATCATTCCATAGCCTTTTCATGGCACTCAATAATTCTTCAGAAATTGGTTCTGTATCCTCCATTCTTGATACAACATCAAATACCATCTTTGCATCAGCCTAAAATTATCAAATAAAACGTTTAATAAATCGATTTTTTTTAAGTTAAATATTTTCACTTTAATCTACACCGCCTGTAAAGATTGCTTCCTTGTATAACCACTTCACAGTGCAGGAAAGCCAACATTACACTTTTTAATCGTTACTAATATCCCTTTTTATATTATAAAATTGTGTAATTTTAGTGAAAATTTTGGCATTATTGTGTTTTCAATAATTTCTCTCGTGTATTATTGTGTTTTCAATAATTTCTCGATAAACTTTATTAGGATTACATGCTGTATAAAGTTAACTATTTAACATTTCTTGTTTGTTTTCTACCTCATCACTTGACGTCTATGAAATTTGACTAAAAAGTATTCACATAATAATTTAATTATTAGATTTTTTAAATTATTATACAGACAGCGAACTTCTGTAACATTATTTATTGTCAATACTTCCTAAAAATTATCTAAAAATATCCAGCTTATACTTCATCTAAGCTGCTTATAATTACAATTCTCTAGCGTTATTTCATATATATTATGAACGAAACTGTTTTAAATATAATATTTAGCTTATATCTTAATAATATATTTACAAAATTATATAATACTTAATTTTCTAGTAATAATTTCGTTCATCATAAAGACATTTTGATAATTTTCTTTATATTCTTATGTAGAATTTTTTTTAAAATCGCCAACTGTAAATGGCTTTAAAACATAATTTTCATTCGATAAAAAATTCTTTTAATGCTTTTTTCAGTTAAATAATAACATAAACCAGTTTAATGAATCCAAGAACTTCTCTCCAGTTTATTTAACGGAAGTATAAATAACAAAGAAACGTTTGAATAAAATACACGTAAAAATATTAAATTTCGCCATTTTTAAACCGTTTGTAAATATGTTTAAGAATTGAAAAAAAAACATAAGTTAAATTTTTGCTAAAATCTAAAAATAGTTTAAAATGTACTAAAAGTGGGATAAATGTACTTTTCTTAAAATAGTAACAGAATTTAGGACAAAACGGTAAATTAATGTTATGTAAGTTACTGCGCTTATCTTCCCTTTTCAGAATGTTAACTCTTAAACATTTCTAGAAAATATAACAGAAAAAAAAATGAACGAATTTTAATAAATTAATTTACCTCTCTCTCGTTGTTACTGAAATTTATTCCCAATGTTGGCATGGCTCTCAATATAGCCACCATTGATTGTACCGTGTTGCTATAGACGACTGGCTTATACTGCCTGAAGTCTTCTGATGTAAATCCACTGTCGTGAATAATTCTATAAAATATTTTAATTATTATACCGTTTAATTAACAGTTTAAGTCATTATAAATGCTTATTTAAACAGTTATGAAGTAATAATTATTTCATAAATATGTATAATATAATATAAAGTCTTTGCAATTTTAAAATATATTTTAAATGCCGTCCGAATGGACTAAAACAACAGCAAACTCGATTATCCGTAATCGAATCAGGCAACTTTTCAATTGTAAGATATTCGTGAAGTATGAAAATAGATATTTAATGCATACTTTTTCGTGCTGAAGAATTAGCGCTAGAACTTTTGCTAAGTTAAAGCAATTTAATAACGTACCACTATGAATTTAAGACGAACCCCGACTTTTAAATGGAATTTTAAACCTCGATATAGCGCTTCTCTGAAATTGGCGCTAAGTCGAAAGGCCTCGAACAATAAGAATTACATAAAACAATGAGTTTCTACACAGAAGTTTGAAAAGTCACGCGATTTGGTGAGAGAAATGTCTTTTGCAATGCCAATTTAGTACTTCATAGTAGCAGAAATTCCGTTCTCAAGTAAACGGAGTGGCACTATAAGAAGGGCGCAGTTTGACTGTAATTTGAATGATAATTAAAGATAAATATAGTTTTAAAATTTTATTAAAGAGTAAAAATGTTGAGAATTATTTAAAATAAAGTATAAAATAAATTCAAAATAATATAAAAATTTTCATTATACACAGACTTTAGAAAAGTAAATAACCTGAATTTAAGGCTTATCTTAACTTTAAATTTATAAAAAAATGTGTAAAAAAATCGATAATTTAAATTTTAAAGCTCTGCAAAACTAGCATTTAAAATTAAATTAAATTAAATTAAAAAACGAAAAAAATTATAATGCGATATAAAAGTAAATAAATTATTTTCAGAATTTAACAAAAGTTAAAATATTTTCTTCATATATAAATTATATAATTCATTAATTATATTTATATTATTTAAAGAGTCTACATAAGTGAAAAATAATGTTTCTATAAAAAAAAGTATAACTTGAATTGTCATAAGCACTGAATTATATACAAAATGAGGATATTGATAAATGAAAAATAAATAAATCAAATATAAATATTATAATA